TAGGTGGAAGTTAATTTTTTTTTTTTTTAGGAAGAGGAATATAATGTTATCACTTAAGTGTGTGCAGGAGAAAATAATAGATGGTAAAATGACAATCAATGTGTTTCTGCCACAATCTAAGCGTGAGAAGAAAAACAAAATCTAAAAGCTTGTCTTAAGCTACTCACAATGAAATAAACCCAGTTCTTTCTCCAGGAGACTGTGGTTTGACCTGTTTTAACACCAAAGTGGAAGAGGTCCTAAATAATTGAGTTACCATCCCTTTGAAGACCTTCCCCAGCAGGGAACCTCGTTTTGATGTTGGTGGAGGAGGAGGGGGAGTTGTGAAGCAGGGACCCCAAGCGGCAATGCCAGTATCAACAGTCCCAATGGCTTAGTGAAGATCTGAAGGTCTTGAAGCCGGTGCTTCTTCAAGCCTGTGCTTCTTGAAGCGTATTCCAGCAGTGTCGGCAGGGTCAGAAATGTTATTTCAGGCAGGGGACTACAATGCCTGGGCTGAGGTGAGTGAAAAATTTGAAGCAGTCGGTCTTGTTCAGAAACATATAAACGAGCATATGGTGCGAATATGGTATTCTGTCCGGCACTTGAGTGGATTGTTTGGTGTACTCCTCATCATAACCCTGGAGATTGGAAGGCCTGCCTGTTCACACAGAAGGGAGCAGAGTTCAAAGATGCTATGTCAGTTGCTTAAGGACACACGGCGGGCAATCCCTGAAGCTGGAATTTACACGCAGGCCTTAGAAAGGTGGCTTTTACTCTTGTCATCATCCCTAAACTGATTCTTACCTTGGAGGAGAGAGTCACTGGGGCTGAAAGTCAAAGTCTTTCTAGGGACCAAGTGTTCCTATATTTCTCATAGAAAGGGCCTTGATCCTACAGCATGGACTTGGAGTTGGTTCATTGTTGAAAACAGTCGCCTAACACAGTACCATCTCATGCAGGCTGTAGATAGGACAGGGCTGCAGTGTCACAGGGAAGGAGACAATGGTGGTAGACTTGAGGGGGGTGGAAGGGAGAGGAATGTCTGGGGTAGCAGGGGAGGGAGGTATGTTCAAAGGCTCAGGAATAGAAATGCATGCAGCTTGTTTGGGGTGGGTGGGGGGAGGCGCTGGAATATAGAAGGTGGGAGGAATAGCAAAGAGAGTATTTTCCCAACGGGACAACTAGGGAAGATAATTACCTTCCCCTAAAGTAAAATATATGCCCACCGTTACATTACTCTGCCAGCTTTTAATACAGGCCATCCTTTCCTTTATGGAGTGGAAGGTTTGAAACCCTACGGTTCTAGCATCCCACTTTATCTTTCACTGGAGAACAATAAAACTAGGTAGCAGGAGCCAGGTGTGGTGGCACACGCCTGTAATCCCAGCAGCGACCCACTACAGAGCTGAAGCAGAAGGATCATCAGTTTCAGGCCAAGGAGAATATTTATATGTATTAGCAAAGGGGGTGGGCAAGAGACTGTCATTAATAAATAAGTAACTAACATGGGTGAGCAGTGCCAGTGTGCTATGTATGATAGCAGGCACTTGACAAGCATTATCTTCTCTCTTGAACAACTGCCCTTGGAAGGGAGGATATCCCCACTGTGCCTGTGAAAACAGAGGTAGATACACAACAGGCCCAAGGCGGAACTCCGAGGCTGACCACGAGGCTCACCACCCAGCCTGTGTCCTGTGTGTCCCCAAGGTGTCCATGTCCCAGTAGCATTCAAAGTCCCACAGCTAAGCAGCTGCAGCTTGATAGCAGGTTGGTGCCAGCTGTTTTCTCACAGTGGTCCCCAGCCATTGTGTTGGTGTCACCCAGGCCGGGAGCGCAGCTGCTAGAAGCTCACAAGCACAAATGGTCCCCGATCAGATAACCAGGCAGGCTCTCCCACCCTGCTTCCGAACAACAGGAAGTCTTCCAGAAGATTACTCCAGGCCTGTGGCTCCCTACACCCACTTCCCACCCCTGCCCCCGCCAGCCTGCTCTCTCACCTTCCCCCTCTGTTTTCCTTTCTCTGCATCACTGATAATTGCTCCAGGGTCTCTCCTCCCCCATCTCATTAAAAGGTAGGCTGGCCAGGCCGACCTCCTAAGGTTTCCAGCTGGATCCAGAGGCCTCTTCCTGGTCCCTGTGAGGGGAATTGCTGTCCAGTGCTCCTGGGAAGAAATTGTCCTGGTTCCTTTTTGGGTGGTTGTGTAATTGGGACCCCTGGCACATTGCCCAGTCAAGGATCATTAGTTGTGGTGTGGGTCCTGGTCTGTATTTTCAGGGGGAAATGTAAAATGTGGCTACAGGTTATTGTTCAATTATCTTGTCTACTTAATAAGTATACCTGCGAAAGAGGAGATGCTTGTTTTCTTTCTTCCGATTTATGCAAATGTTCCACAGTTACAGTGGAACAACTGGGAAATAGAATTCTCCACAAGGGAAACAAATGAGTTCTTGCTCCGTAACCTTGCCACTGAGTGAATAAGATGGCTAAAGGTTTAGTCTGTGTCCTACTCTTGAGAAGCAGCTGCACTTCAGAATCAGAGGGGCCTGGCCTGCTGTGACTCTGACCGTCCTGCTTTGCTGATTGGCTCTGACTTGCTTGAACATCTTAACCTCTCTTTGCCTCGGTTTCCCCAACAATAAAACAGGAACAGTAGTGCTCCCTGTCTCATGGTGTGGTCATGAGGATTCGGAAAGGAGAATATTTATATATATTAGCAAAGGGGTTGGGCATGGCGGTGCTTGGCAGATGTTAGCCGTTAAGCTTGGGATGGAAGGGTGCAGCATATTCACTATAGAAATGCAGTGTCCATGCAGCTGTTGGAACTATGAGCTACAGGCAACACTGGGTATGTCATGTGTGCCATTGCAGAGCACGGCATTGTGTCTCCTGCTTACGGGCCTGGAACCTTAAGGGATTGTGTTCCTTGCGTGAAAGACTTGGAGCCTTTTAGTAAGGTGATGCAGGTCCGAAGACAGTAGCTCTAGTCTTGTGTAAGCACCGAGCAGTTGTCTCCTCCATCGGGCAATTCTCCAGGGTCACTTTGAGAGGCCAGGGTGAGTAGACACAAGTTTGGTCTGGCTCAGAATTCTGAAAAGTTGTTTTCCAGTAATTGGTCCCAGAAGTTGGGGATACCTCTTAGTTGGAGTACTTGCCTGGCATGTGCAAAGTGCTGGGTTCCATCCCCACCTCCAGAGAAAGAAAAGCAACTCATTTTGTGTATTCATTGTACACGATGGCCTGTTTTTGTCACTTACAACTAGTTAGGCTGGGGAGTGGAGCTCAGTGGCAGAGCACCTGCCCAGCCAACATGCGTAAGGCCCCGAATTCCATCCCCAGTACCTCCCCCTACGGAGTCAGGAGTATGCCGACTTTCTGGCCCATTATAACCAAGTGTGGAGGTGTGGTTCAGCGGTAGAACACTTGCCTTGCAAGTGCAAGGCCCTGCGTTCAAACCCTTGAATGGCCAATAAATAAATAAGCAACTGCTCGTGAAGGAAATACTGTGTCCCCGGGTGTTTTCCATTGGTACCACCTCTCTGGCTGTGGATATTATTTGAAGCATTGGTTTGCCTTCCAGTATACTAGCAACCTTAGAGGAAACCTTAGATTAACGGGGTCCCAGAGAGCAGTGCCTGGCAGGCTGTCCCTCTGCCCTCTATCCGTGTGTCTTTCTCCCAAGTGGAGAGATATGAGCTCTTCCATGTATCATTCCATGTTCTCAGTTGCTACTTCCCTCTGCATCTCCTGTGCAATGCTGGGTTGTTGAGGGCAGGGATCGGTTTTTCCCTGGAGCTTCTCATAAGCAGGGAACTGAGCTTCCATAAGGGTCCGCTTTCTGCCACAGGCATTCCTATGTAAGGGAGGAGAATGCTTCCTGCCACTTCCTGCTCATCCCTGCTGCCCAGTTCTTAAAAGAAACCTTGGCCCTCAGCAGGTGAAGAGGAGACTACTTTGATCATGCATAACAACTCTTTGAGGCTTGGGGAGTGTCACGGTCTCTGGGGTAGAGCCTGATGAGTAGCTGGGGAAAGGTGTGTAAGGGAGTCTGGTCTTGAGGCGGTGACTATACTGGAGAATTAGCTGCTGCCCAACCCAGGCTTAGTGTTCTTACATAGCTGAGTTTGTTTTTGAAATGTCAGTTTAGCTTTTTGCAATTGGCTCCCATTCCTCAATATTTATGGCCTTGATGAAAGCTGTTTTTATGAGTCATTTCAATATTTTTGTTGATATTTGTATGTGTTTGTGTTTAATGATTTCTGGGCTGTGCAGAGATTCCTCCAGTCTTTGGAGCATTTATTTTGTGGGACTGCCCCTGCCTGCTAGGTTCCTGGCCAGAGAACCTTATTCTTACCAAGATGTGTATGGTTTTGGACCAGGTGCTGGCTGATGACCTTTCTGCCCCCGAAAGTGTTTCTGGGTGAAGGATGAGAAGGAAAATAATTTAGCATTTGGGTAAATGTGTACAGTTGCTGAACATTTAAAAGGCTGCTAGGGTTTTGTGGCATTTGGTACCAAGTTTCCTTTTTACTAATGTCATTCTGCTGCTTTGCTACCTCGGTTCCAAGCTCCATGGCTTTGCCAGACCAAGTTTTCTACCAGGTGTTTCCTTCTGACTTAACGTTCTCCGAGGCAAATTGAATATGTGAATGTTTCATAAGTCAGACTTTCCAACTCCTTTATCACAGCAGAGGTCTTGGCCCAGTTCCCCGTAGTCATTACACTCACTGTGTATTATTTAGGGTCCTCAACTTGTGGAATCTGATTCAGGCGTGGTTTTGTTAGGAACAAATGTTATTGTGGTTGGAATATCCTGAGATTAAATAACACACTGGAAAAGATGTTGCATATGTCCTCCCTCGGCTCCTGGGATTGCTTGCCTGTCAGACTCAGATTTAAATTTAACTTTTAAGTAAGGCACTTTGAAAAATTAAGCTAAGCCAACTCTTGGTGACATTTTTTTTTTTGCCTCTGCTGAGCATTTCTTTTCTAATAGCATTGCATACTTTACTTTGTCTAGGATTTTCAAGGAAGACATGTCTGACAAAATGTCTAGCTTCCTGCATATTGGAGACATTTGTTCTCTGTACGCGGAGGGATCGACCAATGGATTCATCAGCACCTTGGGGTAAGAGCACCTGACTTGTTCTGTAACAGGATTTGTTACAGACACTATCACATGTGCTTCAAAAGGGTGACTTGTGTGTGCGTGCGTGCATGTGTGCCAGTGTGCCACTCCTGGGACTTGTACTTATGGCCTAGGCACTGTTTCTGAGTTACTTTTGTTTAAGTCTGGCACTCTACCACTTGAGCCACAGCTCCACTTCCAGCTTTTTTAATGGTTAATTGGATATAAGAGTCCCACAGACTTTCCTTCCTGAGTTGGCTTCCAACTACAATCCTCAGATCCCAGCCTCCCAAGAAGCTGAATTGCAGAGTACACTGGAAAATTTCATACTGCGGAGTTTGGTATATTCACTTGCTTGTGCTCCCTTAAGTCTTTCTTTAGAAGTCTGAATACATACTACCATATACTCCTTCTATAGTTCCTCCCTCCCTCCCTGCCTCCCCACCTCCCTACCTCCCCGCCTCCCCGCCTCCCCCTCTTCCCTTCCTCCTCCATTTATTGTCTAGGAGAATAAGTGAAAAGTAGTCTCAAAGGCAGACATGGGCAGAATGGAGAATCTACATGGCTACCTTTAGAACAGTCTGGAACAGTCTCAGCTGACTTTGTGTTGGAAAGAGTAGTTAGGCCCGAGTGGCTTTGTTGAATTTGGTTAGAGGTGGTCTCCAGTACATGGAGGAAGGCAGGTCAGTAGCCTCTCCAAAACCCCATTCTTAGAAGCAGCCCGAATCTCCCTTTTGGTGGTGGCTGCCATTGAAAGTATGCTTATTTTCAGGTGTTTGTGAGCAGTGACTATTCCCAAATTCTCATTCAGGTTACTCCACCCTCAAGGAGGAAATCATATCAGATAAAGAATTATACCTTGATTACATCTGTGTTTGCACTGAATAAAAGTTTCGTTTTCAGCTCATGCCAATAATCCCAGTTACTTGAGAGGCAGAAATAGGCAGATCACCATTTGACCCTATTGAAAAGCAGACTAAAGCAAAAAGGAGCTAGGGCTAGGCCTAAAGTAGAAGAACACATATCTACAAGTGTGAGGCCCTGTGCTCAAAACCCTAGAACTGAAAATGTAGCCAATAGCTTGGTCATGGGTACCCAAACCTGTAAATCTCAGCTCTTGGGAGGTTGAGGTTGAGGCAGAAAAGATTTGGTCTCCATAAGTAAGCCAGTAAGTAAATAGTCATCCAATAAAAAAAATGTGGTGGCTCTCATCTATAATTGCAGGTATATAGGTGGCTGAGATTGAGAGGATGGAGACTTGAGGCCAGATGTGTGAGTAGGTATCCTGCATGCTAACTGGGAACAAATTCTGTGGTCATGAGGAAAATGAGCCAGTTTTACCAATGCCAGTTTAACGAAACGTGGTAGGACTCCATTTCAACCAGTAAAGAAGCTGGGTGCAGTGGCATATGCCTGTCATCCTAGCTTACAGCAAGTAAAAATTCCAGGGTCATAGTCCAGGTTGGCCAGGGCAAAAAGTCAGACCCTATTCAAACAGTGAGCTGGAGGTGTGACTCACCTGGTGGAGCAAGCATAGGCCTGGCACGTGCAAGGCCATGAATTAAAATCCCCCCCCCCCCAGTACTGCCAAATAAAACGAAATAAACAAAACAGTAATCTATAACTTCTTGCTGCCTTCGGTATCTACATTGCAGACCCATCCTGATTAATTTATCTTTGGCTTTTGGCACCAAGGCTTCCTGCTGCTGCTTCTGCCTCTTACCCATCACTTCTTTCTTCTTGCCGGACTTTTTGTTTTTCTCTCCCTCTTCCTTCCATCCTCCATCGTTGAATTTCTCACCTCTTCTTATTTTTCAGCAATGACTACAGTAATATACGGCAGCGGTAAGCACTTTCTACGCCCTGTGGTGTTCACTGTGCTGACATTTTCCCCTAGATCATCATACACCTCTCTGTGGCGAGCACTGTAGTTCAGGAAGGTTGTACTTCCCCACCGTAGACAAGCACACTCACTCACGGAAGGTTTCACAGCACGGAAGACTTGGGGTCTCCAAGGGCCCTAGCTGTCACCCTCTATAGGGCAGTCTCTCCCTCCGGGTTCCCTGAACTGGGTTCCCTGAACCGGGTTCCCCCACACCTTGCCACTGGCTGCCCACAGTCTGATCTGGATGTCCTGCAGTCCCCCAGGGCCAAACTGTGCCCTTTCTCCCTGCAGTCAGATTGGGCGTCCACGGAGCTTCTGAAGCCTTTGACTTCCCTTGCTGCCTCCCTTTCTTCCAGCATATCTGTTCTTCATTTTTTTTTTCTTTTTGAGAAAGTATCTTGCTAAATAGCCCAGGCTGGCCTTGAATCTGTGATCCTCCTGTCTCAGCCTCCCACAGGCTGAGATTACTTGTATGTACTACCATGCCTGGGGGGCCATTCTCAAAATTCTTAAGGCTGCACGTTTTTTGATTTATATAGGCTTTTCTGAGCTATGACTACAAATAATTAAGTCCATTAAAAATTAGAATGTATACTTTACTTCCATTTCCATCCTTCCTGCTTAGTTAGCTCTTTTTTTTTTCATTCCCCCATGGTTGAATTTTTTTTACCGTCTCATTTTTTTAAACAATAAGTATAACAATATAGAATAAACACACATAATTGAGAATAGCTCCTATTAGCATTGGTTTGGAAAATAAAGTTAGTCCTCCCCTTTATCCTTTGACTATGTTTTAGCATTTCTGGAACACTGGTCAGTGAGTGACTACCTCTTTTTGGGACTGGCTGGTCTGCATCCAGGCCTCATCCTGTTTATGGAGATGGGTGGAAGTTACCTCCCAGTGGCTTTGTCAATTTGCTGAACTTGAGAATTCCAGGAGGACCTTGGAGAGCCGGTGCATGTGGGGACCTACACTCATCTGTGGTGTGCTTCTAAATCACCTTCACAGCTTGTTAAAAGCACAGGTTCTTGGGTCCCTGCCTAACCACAGCTTCAGAACATCCGGGGATGAGAGAGTCCTGGCATAAGTACTTCAGAGACAGAAAGTGTCTGAACAGTCCTCTTAGTTCAGAATCCTTGGTTTTTGCAGATGAAAATGCTGGGCACGGGGAGTAAATGACAGCCACATCACACCACTAGTGATGACACAGTGCCATCTGCAATGCAGTCCTGATTAGGGCCTATTTCCTACTGCCTTGAGAACATGATTAACCCAGTCCTGCGTTGGTTTCTGAGCCCACCTTTTAAAGTGTCGTGTTAGTTGTAGTAGCTTTATTAAACTCACACAGGAACCCAGGAGGTTTCTTACATGTGCACATTATCTTTTTCATTCTTGCATTGACCATGTGATCTCTCCTATAGCTGCACAGTGAGTTCTTCCAGGTGGTTTGAAGCTAGAGGAGACAAACTGCTGGTGGCCTATGCTCAACACTGATTCATCCACCAAACAGATACTGAGGCACAGCCTTGGGCTTTTCTGAGCCATGAAGCAGGAAGTCACTGCCTCTCTGTGGCTTGTAGCCTAGCACAGCCTTGGGATCAGTCAGAGAGGTTGGGAGGAAGAAGAAAGGGCAGGGAGTTCCTGGAGAGAATTGGCTGGTAGGAGGCGAGGCTTGGTGAAATTGAGAATCAGAAGCTTGTAAGAGAAGTGAAGGGAATTTGGGAGGAAAGAGCAGGAAGGCACAGGCTCAGTGTTTAATGGTACCTTGCATTTTGGATAAGAGGCAACACAGGCTTATGGAAGAAACCTCGAAAAATCCTACAGGCTAGCTGGGAAGCAAACTGTGGTCACGAGTAAAATGAACCAGTTTTGCCAATGCCAGTTTCAAGCACTTGGGCAAATCACATGACCCCTTTGAGCCTCAGTTTCTTCATCTGCTCATTTATATACACATCATTCACATATATGTATAATATACACCACATACATATAATGTAATACATGCAAGCATTCTGTACATGTATTATATAGGGTATATACATGTATGCTGTGGCTGTATATTATCATATATTTAGTGATTCTCCTGCAGAATTGTGCAAGTTGGATTTTTATATAAGGGCTTTAAATGTGAGTTTTTATGGATCAGATTAGTTATTTAAATTTTTTCACTCTCTATGAATTGCTTTTTCAGCTCCAAGCCCTTCCTATCTCTGTGCATTATACTAGGTTCCCGCCCCCTGCAATGTGCCCCTCTTTTCATCCTCCCACTTCTCTTTCAACTCTTCTAGTAGTTCTACTGCAACTCTCTGCCTACTCCAGTGGCCTTGGGGATGGTGGACTTCTGGTTTGTTCCCTTCAGTGTTTTTCAGTCCTTGGGTTATATTTTTATCAGTTTATGTGTATGGCCTTTAGCTACCTAAGTGCTAGGCTCTTGGTTCATCTTCATTCTCCACGCTCCAGGTCCTAGACCACTGATAATGAAGATGGCACCTCCACTCCCATTACTTCAATGCATTGATTCTTCAGTGGAATTACACGTTGTATGCAAATCTGTCATGAAAATGGTTCAGGAAAACAGTGGCTTCATGGTTTGTGTCCATCATAGAAGTAGAACCCTGGACTTTTGGGTCAGGTTTAACTCCATACATAGGAAAGCCTCTTTTGTAAACAAATCATGGAAGAATAACATGGCAGTGTAAGTTTTGCACCAAAAAAGCGATAGATTTTCAGTTTTGTACAGCGCAGGGGGTTTTATTTTCTAGGACTTGGTTTGATATAATACTTTACTTTCTTTGCAGCCTGGTTGATGACCGTTGTGTTGTACAGCCAGAAGCCGGAGACCTTAACAATCCGCCGAAGAAATTCAGAGGTAAGGTGGATGGCTTTCTGGAGTTATCACCTTGATTCACTTGAAAACTCTTGAGGGCTGTTGCTTCTGTGTGCCTAACAAGTGGTTTGTTTCCTTTTCCTTTTTCTTTTTGGTGAGCAATGATAGTTTTATTTACTTAGGATCTTTCCCAGAGTATAATTTTAAGTCTTAATAATGTCTTGAAAAATGCATAAGTAAATTCAGTGCCAAGATTGACATAGCTTTTATTAGAGTCTTAATTTGTCTGTTGATTACATGTTTCTGAGTGCTAATTCAGTTTAAAGCTTTTCATTTAGGCAGTTATTTCTCCACAAAGGATTTGTGGATCTAATCTCCAAGGACAATTTCAGCAGATCTCAGTGATCCTTTGAGGGCCCCAGTAGTCTCAGTTGGAAAGAGACATTCTTGATGATTGCATTTGATTTTTGTTGAATGGTAACAGGTAGGATTGTTGTCTTACCGGTGTTGGCTTTTTCATTCTTTGACCTCCTGTTTTGGGGGTCTTTCTGGAAAGAAAGGTAGTTTAGTTAATTGAAGAAGGTGTTTGAAAATATAGTTAGTATTTTAGATGATGAACACTTGGCTTTTTGTTGTGGTGGTGGTGGCTTTCAATTTTAGCTGAGGAAGTTTCAAATTAAATAGATACTCTGAGCCCTACTCCAGACCAATTACATTTGTCTCTTGGGGTTGGACAGGCCCACTGGCATTTTTTTAAGGCTTCCCAAGTGATTATTATATATATAGCCGGGGTTGAGAACCTACTGGGTTAAATATTTAACTCCTGACCTAGATCCCAAAGAGGTTGAACCTTAACTGTTTGCAGATTATATCATTTGAGTTATAAGTTCTTACTGCTAAGTGATTTAGAAACGGTTTGACTTTTTGGATGAAAGCTAAAGAAATTAAAATGAAATAGAAGGCAGACGTTCAGATGGAAGGATGCCACTGGCAGCAGTTTGGGGCTGAGCTGAATCCAGTTGGCATGCCACTGTCAGGAGACGATGTTTGTACCTAAGGATTTGGGAAACTTTTTTTTTTTGGTACCATTATGGAGGCCTTAAGCTCTTGTTTGACTTTTTTTGCTCAGGGCTGGTGCTCTACCACCTGAGCCTCTACAAGGTGCTCTAGGCCCAGAGGCTGCCTGTATTCTCTTCTGCCTCGGCTGGCTTTGAACTATGATCCCAGATCTCAGCCTCCTGAGGAGCTAGGATTATGAGGGTGAACCACCAGAGCCCAGTGGGTGGGGGAGAGGAACAGTTTCTTTTTTCTTTTTAAAGGTTGTCGATGGAGACAAGATCTTGAAGCAATTCTTGCTGTTGCTGCATTTTTCTTCTTAATCCCTCCTCCTTGTCTCCTTCCAAAACAAAATCTTGAGTGCAGCACAAATGAAAGGTCTGATGTAATGATCACAGTGCAGTCACTCAGGGTCAGTCTCCTAGACTGTGATGTCACTGCTGAGGGTACTGCCTGCTTTAGCAGAGGAGGTAGAGGGGGTGCCACATCCAGCCTGGGAGGGCAGTGATCATTCATGGTTAAGAGTCTTGTTGGGAGTCTCAGGGTAACAGGGTTGGAGACGAATGGAGCAGGAGCGTGGCTCTCCTGAGGAATTCACCTGGAGAGCGTTCAAAACTAATGATGTCTTGAGTCCCCCCTCAAGGCTCCCCCAAGGCTCCTGACTTAACTGGTCACTGAGTTTCAAAAATGCCTTGGTTGAATCTCTTGAGCAGCTGAAGTCAAGAGCTGCTGCTCATACTACCTGAATTATAAACCACCAGCTGCATTGCTCAGGGAAGCGCTAATCCAGGTTGGCTTTTACTCCTGGGACAGAACAGAGCAGTGGTCCCCGGGTGAGTGTTGCTTGGGTCCAGTGGGAGCTCTTGTTGCATCTCTCAAGCCTTGAGAGTTGGGAAGTGAATGGGGAGAGCTTTTAATGCTATTTACAGTTAACCTGTGACTAACCCTTTCTATTTAAAAGTTTTTTTTCAAATGTTGATTTTTCATTTTAATTGGCAAGTAAAAATTTTGTATATTTTGAAATAGACATGGTAGAATATCTAAACTGAGCTAGTTGAGCAAATACATATTTCTTTGCACATGTACGTGTGTGCGTGCATGCATGCATGTGTGTGTGTGTGTGTGTGTGTGTGTTGAGAACCCTTAAAACTTACTGTAAGATTTTTCAGGCATATACTACCTTGTCTTTATCTATATTCATCATGCATAATAGAATTTGGGAATTTTTTTCCTTCCATCTAAATGAAGTTTTGTTTCCTTTGACCAATACCCCCCAACACCTCCCACCCCAGCCGCTGGTAGCTACCCTTCTGTGTTAGTGTCTGGTTTATTGCACTTAGTGTAATGTCTCCCAGGTTGAGGCCACCAAAGAGTCAATAGCTGCTGGAATTAGAGTTAGAATGATAACATAAATTGAATCATACTGAGGAAGTAGGAAGAGGTGCATTTTTCTTGACATTAGGGTAAAGTATCTCATGCTGGTATGCATGGCTAATGTCTGATTTGAACAGATTGTTCCCACCCTCTCTCTCCCTCTCTTTCTCTCTTCCTGTCTCCCTATCTCCTTGTCTCCCTGTCTCCCTCTTTCCATCTTCCCCAACCCCGCTTCTCTCCCGCCTTTTCTTCCTCTGCTGGGAATCAAACTCAAGGGTCTTATGCATGTTAGGGAAACACTATTATTGAGCTACCTCCCCAGATCCAAATATTTTTAAAATATAATTTATTGTTATTATCAAGGTGCTGCAGAGGGGTTACCGTCTCATGAGTCAGGTGATGAGTACATCTCTTTTTGGACAGTGTCATTGCTTCCTTTGCTTTCCCAGTTTCTCTGTCCTGTCCCTGCCCACAGTCGCATAGTTCATTTTCCACTGAGAAATATTTTGTTTTAACAGCATAGTTAAAAGAATATTTTACTATAATAATTTGTCATGCACTAAGATATGCTTAAGGGCTTGGAGATGTGGCTCAAGTGGTAGAACATTTGCCTACCAAGTATGGGGCTCTCAGTTCAAACCCTAGAACTGCCAAAAACAAAAACAAGAATGAAAACAGCACACACCCATGTTTAAAAATAGATACTTGGAAAGGAAACATAGTAGAATACTTAGAAGGTATTTTAACCCCTCATTTAATCCTATGATGAAAAAAATAGCTGTGAACCAGGCAAGATGTGAATAATATTTTAAGGAATGAGTTCCACTTATAAGTTGTAACCATCCCATATTTCTGTAATTAATTTATTTTTACCCTGTTCTGGCATTTCCCTAACTTTGAATAGACTTTTGAGACAAAAAGCAACAGTCTGACAGAGGTCATTTAGAAAGAAAGAAGCTTCACTTACTGGCCTGCTTCTACAGGTGGTCACGTGATGCTGACTTGATTTGTTGACTGCCTTTCTCCATAAATTAAAAGTAAAGTTTTCTAGGTTATGAGCTGCTTTTTGTTTTGTTTTGTTTTGAGCTTGTGGGGAAATCTGTTCAAAACAAGCTCTGCTGCAGGCTTGGTAAATGTAGGTCAGCAGTCCTAGCCTCCACCTGGCAGCCGGAGCCCTCTGCCCATAGATGAGGAGCAGGGCAGATCTTCCCTTGCCGGCCCTTGCGTGGCTCCGGAGAGCTCCTCCGCCATGGAACCTGGGCAGCAAGTATTTAACGTATTTTTGAAAGCTTCCCTTCAACTATGGTGCAGCCTACTTTAAGAATTTCTCTTCCCCTCCCTCCCTGCCTCTAAAATGAAGAACAGGATCTCCTTTTTGGATGAGATTGTTGACTTTCCAAATATAAGTCCACTTTGAAGTTGGAGTCATTTTGATGGTCATAAGATGTACGTGGGGGCACTGTAGAGACGTTTCTAGTCCATTTTCTTGTGGTGCCTTTTCATCTTGGAGTTTAGCACACACACACGGGGAAGAGGGGATGCTGACAGGCCGCCCAGTGGCATGATGGATTCTCTCTGAGAATCAGCAGAGCTGTACTTAGTCATTTGCTCTCATTTCCACTCTTTGCTTGGCAAGTGATTCCTCTATTGAGGTTTCTTATAACCTGTTCTGAAGAAAGTGGGAATCTGAGGCCTGTTTATGCAGTATTCCCCATGGCTTCTGACTTCAGAGCTTCTAATTTTTAAATTCCTCCTGGGATTTTCAACAGTGGTGGTGATTAATAATGTAGGATCTTGGGGCTGGGAAGGTGGCTCAGTGGTAGAGTGCTTGCCTTGCATACATGAGGTCCTGGGTTTGATTCTTCAGCACCACATACGCAGAAAAAGCTGGAAGTGGCACTGTGGCTCAAGTGGTAGAGCACTAGCCTTGAGCTGAAGAGCGGAGGGACAGCACCCAGGCCCAGAGTTCAGGCCCCACGACCTATCCCTACCCCCCCCCAAAAAAAAAAAGTAGAATCTTGGATTAACCTTCTTGGATTAAAATCCAAGTTCCCCAAATTCTCACCTGTGTTATCTTGATTAGATTGTTTAACCTTTGCAAACCTGTAATGGAAGATGATCATAGTCCCTACCTCATAAATTCATGTGTAGGTTAAAGATTTTAGTATTTGAAGATTTTAGTATTTAGATAAAGATTTTAGTATTTGATGAAATTCTGTTAGTTGTGACAACATGAAGGCATTGTGATTGGTAAGCAAAATAATCCAAGGACTGGATGATCTTACTCCTGTGGGAAATATCATACAGAAGTTGAGAGTAGAATAATGGTTGTCAGGGAAAGGGAGAAGGAAGGAAATGGAAAGAGCTGGGTCAACCAGTAAGAAGGAACAGGAGTGCCGGGTGCCGGTGGCTCACGCCTGTAATCCTAGCTACTCAGGAGGCTGAGATCTGAGCATCCCGGTTCAAAGCCAGCACAAGCAGGGAAGTGCATGAGACTTTTACCTCCAATAAACCACTAGAAAATTGGAAGTGGTGCTGTGGCTCAAGCGTTAGAGTGGTCGCCTTGAGCTGAAGAGCACAGGGAGAGTGCCCAGGCCCAGAGTTCAAGCCCC